TTTTTCATACCACGTTACCGACCGCTGTCGGTTTCTAGAAAGAAACCTACGTCGCCGGGCGACAACTAAAATCCAGTTTATATTTTATTATAACGATCCTGACGAATAAAATGAATTTTACAAATGAATGAATTTTATAAATGAATGGTTTTGCTGCCGAATTAATATATTTCTAGGCAGATGACGTATCTATTCGATATTTTTATTCGAATAGTTTTCGACGAATATTTTCTACTAGTTATCGAATTGCCTGAATGAGTCTGCAACTATCGAATGTTTGATAGTATTCATTCGATAGTTCTACTACTACTGTAACAACATTTATAATGTTTATTTTAAAACAATAAGACGACAATTATTATTTGTATAATGTTTTGTATTATCTTTGTTTGTTTTTACTTTGTTTGTTTAGTTTACCTTGTCTACAAAATTAAAATGTTTTGACAATAAAGGCATTTATTCATTTATTCATTTAATTCAAGTATTTTACATTTATTTTTCTTCCATTTTTATTTTTCTCAAAACTAACGCCACCACTGGAAAAGACGCTAATTAACTTTTTTAATTTAATTTTTATAATTTTCACGATTATTTGGTATTACGCCACTGTTTGTCTCGTCAACGAAATAATTTAAAATCCTCCACCCACTTGTATATACATATACGTGAACATAATGTACGAATTCGTCATTTCAAACAATGCATCATTCAGTACAGCTACTGTAGCACCAGGCAGTACACAACATACACAGCTGATAATAGACAACCATCAATCAAGTTTTTTTCTTAAATTTTCATTGCAAGATTATTAAGAGTTAGAATTAAACTTGTATACAGATACATGACTGGGACCTGTATTTATATATACACTACACCGTGCTGAGGAGAGCAATAGATAATAACGTGTACAAAAGGAAACAATCTCTTAATTTAAGCTAAATTGGCTCGGGGATGTGGGCTCACCCATATAAAGCCAATTGACGTTGATTAGTGTGTCTTAGTGTGAGTGTGCGATCGCGACACAAGGCGTAAAGTTCATTTTTATTCGATCCGAAGCCAGAAACGACGCTCCAGAAATCTCAGGTTAAAAAGTCCTCAGGTAAGTGTCTATTTAAGTTAATTAGTATTAATAAAGCTTCATTGAGTACCCCAAAATTAGTGGATACGATAATGCTGTATTCCGTTGCAAAACCATGCGAACCAGACCGATAAACTACGGTAAAGAGCGGTTCCTGAAAACGTCGGTTTGATACGGAAATGATACGGAACGGTTTGGAAAAAAATTGGAAACGTCAAATATTGACGGTTTCTAAATTTCAATATCTCTATTATAAAAATTTTTTATGCTTTTTTAATGTACCTATTCTCTGCTTTTATGTTTGTTTCTTTTTTTCAATGGAGTTTAATATTGAAAAGTACTTTATACTTTATTAATAAACTGTTAAACTCGTTAGATGACTCAAGTGAAGATTTGCACTCCAATATTAATAATAAATAAACAAATCTAATCAATATTTATATTTTTATAGCTTACAAAAGATTCACGATTATTTGTTGTCTTGTTTTTCATGTTTTCTTTAAATGTTCCTGACTTTGAGAAACAATGGCTGCATGATAACTTTAAATGGTCCTAAAAAGTCATTCTATTTAGTTCTGTGCGGTTCTATGAAATTTATTTACCTTTACGGCCTACCTCGATTGCTTTGTATGTAAATACAAAATATTATTACAAATTTTAGAAATTAAATGAAAATTTCACTGGAACTTCCAATATTTGCTTGATTTCTGTCACATAAATGACATTGATTGACAAACAAAAGCAGAAAAACCAGCCTTCTCGCGCTCGCTGGTTGGTTTGGCGACAGTTATATACAGATTGTTAATTTTGTTCATTAAGCCGGAGTCTCATGCATCCGAAATCCGATGACACGACGATCCGACGGTGCTCCTATTGGTCGAAATATTTTGACAACAATTTTTATCCGATAATTTTAACTAATCATCCGACGTCGCATAAAGTTAAATTTTGTTTAACTTTTGTACGATATCGTGTTTTAACCTCACTTTTTGAAAACATTTGTTTTTAAAACAAGTTTAGTGGGAAGTGGGGCAATTTCGGATATTTGGCGAGGAAGTTATTTTATGGCAGCCCAATAAAACATGACATGAATCTCTATTCAGCGCAGCAGAAAAATGTTAAAACTGTCAAATTTCGGAACGAACTTTCGGATGTATGTGACAGGCTTTTTTTATTTCACACGATAACTTCAAATTTCGGATGTCGTACCATCGGATTTCGGATGCATGAGACTCCGGCTTTACTCGCGGCAAGAGCTTTATGGTTGAAATATGGCAACCTCGGCCCGCTCGTCGATAGACGACGCGACGGGACGAGTCGGCAGAAAAATCGATAATGCATGCGTTCTCAATAGGCAGTGTTGCCATTCTGCTCCCCTATAAGTAACTGTCGAGTTAACAACCTGTATAACCGAATTTTTCAGGAACCGTGTTCCGTAATAAGTAAACTTACAGGAAACCGATAGAAACGGAACATAAAACCATAACCAAGGTAAGCAACGGAATACACCCTTAGTGAAGAAGTTTGTTCCTCTAAAAAATGTCCTCTATGGCGGATATAAAATCAAAAAAGCGATTGCTATACATTACTAACATCTACAGATGCATGAGCAATACAATTATTTTTATTAAATTATATTAAAAAAGCCTCTTTTATTTTTTTTAGAGGCTATCGCTTCTTTTTGTTCCTGTAATTTCATGTAAGCATTCGGAACATCAAAATTAGTGGTAGTGATTTTCAATTATTTATTTTCAACATTTTCTCACTAATTATACTTCAAAATTTGCTAGGAATGTCATTTTGACTTTTGAATATCATTCATCAAAAGAAATTGTGTTTAAGAAAGTTGGATGTTTTTAAGTTTTCTTTTTACTTTTGATTTATTTTTTTTCTGTAGAACTGAACCACTGAAGTTTGTTATATTATTTTCTTTACACCCTGTATAATACATAGTGTTGCATTATTACTCGGTTCCATGTGGATAATTTAAAATCTCTTTTTTTTTAAATAAAAAAAATGAATTTTTAGTTTCGGAGATAAAGAAAAATCGGACCTTTTTTAAAAGATTTTATTTTTGATTAAGCAACTATTTTAGATACGGGTTTCTAAAAATGTTTTTTATACATATTATTGGCTAAATGAATTTAAAGACATAGTTTGACTTATTATGAATGTTTCTAGACCCAGATGTAATAGAGTTTCATACAATTTTTTCATCCTCCATTAAAAAAAAATTCAGAAAGAAAAATAATTCAATACTTCATGTTTCTAGATTTTATTCCTAAATCTCATTATTCCAGAGACACTCTGTATTATTAATTAATTAATTAAATCATAACCATCAGTATAAATATTGTGATAAACTATCTGGAATTAACATATTGTAAACGAATTTTAAGATGTTTTTGAAAAACAAGGTTTATTTTTAATATGCAATGAATTGGCAAAAATTTAATTCACCTTTTAATGAGTTTTTTGGTCAATGTAGAGACTGACCAGTTCATCATCATCATCATCATCATTTTCAGCTTATTCAACCATTTCCAATTATGGTGTAGCCTCACTCATATATTTAAATACTCTTTTTGTAGTTGGGTCTATTGTTGGTTAGTTATGACGGCCCAAGTTATCCCTGATAATTTCCTAATATCATGGTCTCATCTCAGATTTGGTCTTTTTCTAGGTCTCTTAATTCTCTATGCTCTAATTTCTGTGGTCCATCTGTTGTCCGTTTGCCATTTGAGAAATTTTATTCTGTGGATGACGTCTATTATCTGGATCTTTTGTCGTATCCACTCTATTCTTTTACGGTCTTTCTTGGTTATTCCCAGCATATTTCGTTCCATTGAGCGTTGTGCGACCTGCAGTTTCCTTATAATGTCCGTTTTAAGTATCCATGTTTCGCATGCATCTGTCATGACTTGTAAGACACATTGATCGAATGTCTTCTTCTTTAGATAAAGTGGCATTCTAGATTCTAGATTTGAATATGATTGAGTTTCTTCCATTTCTTCAGTTGATTTCTGGTATAGTAGAGATCCCGAGCTGTGCATTAGTTGTCCCAAATATACATATACCGGGTGTTTGGTTTGGTTTGCATCGTCGGACGGGACATAGAAAATCCCATGTAAATTTTAATGGGGTCAATTATTGGCTTCCCTAATTACTTTAGAGAATAATTCTATTTAGGTTTATTGAAGAGCACTAAAACCCACATTCAAAAGAGTAACTTTAGATATTTTTGATTAGCTTGTTTACGAGTTATCGCCGATTTCTTTTTAAATATTTCTCCTTTCTTATGGCCCTGTATTTACTTATGAGCACCAGTCAAGGTAAAAGATAACTGTCAAATGAAGTTGTCATTTCCTAGGGTCATTTCAGAATTTACCTATTTAGTGCTTTATTATTATTGAAAACTCATTCCTACATCGGAAATGTTTGGGCAGGGATATTCGGACACAATATTATCGGGCCATTATTTCTTACCCGAAATTTAAATGTAGAATATTATTTGGAACTACTCGAAAATCATATTTTACCTGCTTTACATGATGCCGCTAGGGAAAATTAGGAAGTTTGGTACCAAATGGATGGCTGCCCGGCACATAGTACCCTGGCTGTTCGGGAATATTTAGACAATAGTTTTAACGGAAACGTTATTGGCCTAAATCATACAGTAAATTGGCCAGCAAGGTCTCGATATTTCGCCAAATGACTTCTTTCTCTGGGGCCATTTAAAAACAGGATACAAAGGATAAAAAATACCCAAATCTAGACGAGTTAAAAAATGCTATTTCTGCCGAATGCAATAGAATTTCAGTTTACCAACTAGCGAATGTAAGAAGAGAATTTTATGATCGCCTGGGTTATTGTCTAGCAGTCGATGGAGGAATATTTGAACATCTTCTTCTTCTTCTTCTTCTTTTTTTATGATGGCTCTGCTACAAGGCAACCGCCAGCTCAATTTGGGAGTGACCAAGATGTTGACTGGCTCTAAACCATATCAAGGCCACTGATTCTTATCTGAGTAAAATGTATAATGGGTAAATTTTAATATAACTAACTTCATGAAGGTAACCTGTGACCTGTGACTGTAAAATGTTATTATTATTATTTATTAAATATATAAATGACGTGCTGAAAGGAAGATTATATCACACAAAAGGCACATAGGATAGAGGTCACACAAACAGACTGCATCTCGGAAACTGAAACAAAAGAAAATAAAAAATAGAAAGTTGAGCATTATAATTTAATTCTATTTATGTTTAAAAATATATCATAATAGTTTCTATTAATTATTAATTTTTCACTTGGCTTAGACAAAACTGTAAATATTGATATTGGAGTAGGAAAATTCATTTCAATAAATTTTTTGATATAAATCCGAAATTAAACAAAAAATTTATAGGACATTCTAAAAAGATATGATTTAGGTCTTCAACAGAGCCACACTCACAGAATGGATCTTCCTTCACTTTAATTTTATATAAATGGTTTTTTGTTAAGCAATGGCCTGTACGCATTCTAATTAACGTTGTAATATGTCTTCTATCTATATACTGGAAATTTTTAAACCATTGTTTATCTGGGAAGATTGTTTGTATATTAAAATACACATGCTTTTTTCCTTTCATACGAGATTTCCAATTTTCCTTATAATTACACAAAATATCAGTTTTAATTGAATTAAAAATATCTATTGAATCCATCTCCATAGATTTCGGAATATTTAAATCTTTTCCAATATTAGCCAACAAATCTGCCTCTGTATTTCCCAAGATATTGGAATGACCTGGAATCCAGGCAATCCTGATGTCAAAACCATTAGAATTTGCTAAACAAATTAAACGTTTGGTTCTTAAGGTCCAATAATCAGCAGATGCTTTAAAGAGATTTTTACTAATTTTTTGAATCTGAAAAGATAATAACACTACGCAAGTTCTTTTTAATAGCAAACTTTACTGCATCATGAATAGCTATGGTTTCTGCCTTACAAATACTTAAAGAATCAGGTAGTCACTTGAAAGAAAATTTAAAATTTATATATGGAATATATATTCCAAATCCTGTTCTTTATCTTTTTTAGATGCATCTGTAAAAAATAAAAATATGAGAATTTTTAAAACGTTCAGATACTGACAAAAATTGTTCCTTAATAGAAAAATCATGTTTATTAATTTGACAATCAACTAATTTAATAGAATCATTCAAAATATTGAAACTAACTTCATAACACGGAAAATTTTGACTAACATAAAGATTATCAATATAAGGCAGAAAGTCATGTAAAGCTGAGACCACATAAGGTACATTATTACTATTAATATAAATTGGATTAACAGTTTTTCTAATATTGTAAATTAAATTTATTAATGGATTATTTTGTAAAGTTAACAATTTAGACAGAAATTTGCCTACAAGTACTTTTCTTAAATCCTAAAGTTCTAACAATTTAATTAGGTACTATTAACCAAACCAAACCAAACCAAATTAATAAGTTATTGAATATTGTAATAATACTATAATTAACCTTGTAATTGATTACTTTATTTTACTTGTAAAGCACCATAATAAAGCACTAAATAGGTAAATTTCTGAAATGACAACTTCATTTGTCAGTTATCTTTTACCTTGACTGGTGCTCATAAGTAAATACAGGGCCATAAGGAAGGAGAAATATTTAAAATGAAATCGGCGATAACTCGTAAACGGTCTAATAAAAAATATCTAAAGTTATTCTTATGAATGTGGGTTTTAGTGCTCTTCAATAAACCTAAATATAATTATTCCCTAAAATAATTAGGGAAGCCAATAATTGACCCCATTAAAATTTACATGGGATTTCCTATGTCCCGTCCAATGATGCAACACCCGGTATATACTTCTACTATTTCCAGTGTTGTGTTATTTATTAGAATGTCTTTTCTGTCTAACTGGTTCGTTGTACATTACTTTAGTTTTTGATAAATTCATAGAGACCTACTTTATTGCTGGATGTATTTAGTTCCTTAATTTGTGCTTGTTAGTTCTTCAGCACTATTGGCAATTAGGACTATCTCATCAGCGAATCTTAGATGGTTAAGCTATTCTCCATCTATTTTTAATCCTTTGTTGGTCCAGGCCAGTTGACAGCAGATTTCTTCTAGTGTTGCTTGTCAAGTAAATATTTTTGAGACTTATTTCAGAGACACTTGCTATTAATGCCTAACTTGTAGAAATATATTTTTAATTCGATTAAAGATAGAAAAAAAAAACAAATATAATTCTAATAAAGTCCTTTTCACACCACTTATTTTGGCTTATTTCTTTTTTTAACTATTTAATGACAGTTCTCAGCTCTACAGGGAACGCTTATAGAGGCATAATAGACCTGCATAACAGTTCGGAATATCTATTCAGGTTTAATAAGGAAGTGTTCAGTGTGTGGTGTTCATTGTACCTAATAGACGGTAAATGAATCATAAAATGAGGATTTAAATAGATTTAATCGTGTGTGTGAACGGTGCCTTAAAGGATATCCACGCGGACCAGCGGCGGAGAGATTATTTTTGTCTAAGAAATCCTCTATAAAGATTTATTTATCTTCTATACCAATATATAAAAATCCTTAAGTGATGACTCACAGATTAATCACGATCCTGCTCAAACCACTCAACGTAAGAAGCTCAATTTTGGCATACAGGTTGATTCTAGGGTGTAGAGGTTCGATAAGAAGAGATTTTTCGAAATTCCAGTTCCAAGAGGGGTGAAGCACCCTTCAAATATTACAATATATTTTATTTAAAAACGGTCAAGTTTCCGAAAAAACGCGTTGTACATGTATTTTATTTGTTTTTTACATATTTTAAGATTTTTTAAAAATGTATACAGGGTGTTTCGAAAAATCTGGTCATTGATTAATCACGATCCTGCTTAAAGCGCTTGACGTAAAAAGCTGATTTTTGGAAAACGGATTGACTTTAGGGTGTAGAGATTCGATAACACGGGATTTTTCGAAACTCGAATTCTAAGGGGGTGAAACCACCCCTCAAATATTAGAATATTTTTTATTTAAAGACCGGTGAGTTTTTCGGAAAAAAACTTTTAAACACGTATATTTTATTTTGTTGTTTTACATATTTTAAGATTTTTTAAAAATTTATACAGGGTGTTTCATAAAATATGACCATTGAGTAATCACGATTCTGCTTAAACTGCTTGACATTTAAAGCTGATTTTTGGCAAACGGATTGACTGTGGGGTGTAGAGGTTCGATAAGGAGGGGTTTCTCGAATCTCAAATTCCAAGAGGGTGAAAACGCAATAATAATTACAATATTTGTTATTTAAAAAACGGTTAGTCTTTCGGGAAAACGCTTGGACACGCATAATTTATTTTTATTAATTCGACGCGAACGAAGTCGCGGGTACACGCTAGTAATTTATAAAAAATTTAGGTAAAAAATTTAAACTATATTCAAAAGTACTGCTTAATACTAGGTATATGTGTATTCTGAAATGCTTCCTTTGAAGATACAGGGTGTAGAAGTTCCAAATAAATTCTGAACAAATGTAGATTTTTGCATGAAAATTGATGTTTTGGAGTTTTTTTGATTTGAGAAATTTGATTTCGATGTCAATAGGACTCTAACTTATAAGGGACGCCATCTACATATTTTTTAAGTTGTCGGAAGAGCAATAACTTTTCGACCGTACCTGTATAAAAACTACTGAGAAAAAAACACATTTTGCGGTATTTTTACTTACCTCAACAGGAAAAAAACGGAAGTTAACTCCTAAAAATGGCATATTTAATAGAAAATATACAAAAAATTAATTCTAAAATTGAAAATTAATAAAAAAAAATCTGATAAATTAAATTAAAATCTGATAAATTAAAAAAAACGTGTAATTTTTGAGTTTTATTAAAAAATATTTTTTATTCATTGATTTATATTATTCAATACAAATTGTTCTCAATCTATCTACTATCGTGACCTCTGATCCGTGATTGTGTGATTGTGTGACCCCCCTGAACACATGGATCTCATCAGACTTCGTATAGCGTGTTGAGTTGGCGGGTTACCATGCTTCCAGTTCAAAGATTGTGACTTTTTCGACAGATTCCACGTACATTGTTATTGTTCCAGTGTTTAAATTATCCAGATTTTTGTGGATCTATTTACAAATATCATCTAAATAGAATGGCTTGATTGGGATATATGGATATGTAAGGTATGGCAGTATTTTTCATGTTTTAATTTCAAGTAAATATGTACTGATTGCATAAAAATATTGATAGGGATTTATAAAAAATAATTTTTTCTTGAAGGTGATCTACAATAACGTTGGTGTTGTGATGAAAATCTGTTTTTTACTTGTAATTTTTCGAAATATTACTATTTCTAACTGTTTTCAAGTGAGGTCTGTGCTAATATTGTAGATATTTTCTTAATAGTTCTTCAAAATTTTGAACGTTGTTAAGTATCTCAGCCATATTTTTTATTGGTACTTTGAAACAATGTTTTATGATAAATATTTTAATAGTTATACAGAGTGTTTCATTAATAAGTGCAAGTGTTTTTACCGAAAGTATAAATACTGTATGATCGAAAAAAAAACGGCGTCAAGGATGGCTAGGAAATGCCAATAGATGATAATTTTGGCGAGGCCAATCTCCATACGTTATTTGCTAAAAATTGGCATAAAACTTGTCAAAAATTAGTATTGGTTGTAGAAAGATTATAAAAGGATAGAATATTTCTAGACCCACAAATCTATTTCCGAAAAAAGAAAAATTCTGGAATTTTAAACTACACCATTTAAAAATCATTTTTATTCAATATAAAAATATAGAATAGTACAGGCCATGTATGTGAAGTCTAGGGCTTGACCGTCTTTGACGCCGTTTTTTTTTCGATTGTATTGTATAAAAATTAACTAGTGTGATGTTCAAAAGAAAATTTTTATAAAATGAGTATTTAGAATAGAAAATCTAAATGCAGGAACATGGAAAATCTTATTTAAAAAAAATATAAGGCTTTATTTTAAAAATACCACGTGTTAAAGTTATTGGAAAACAGTCCATAGATTTTATATAATGCCTCAAACTCTTCGAAGATACTTAAACAATATCTGGTACCGGGTGTGTCTCAAAAGTGGCTTCCTATATAACTTTTTTATTTTTTCACATAAAAAAACAAGATTTGGTATTTGGTATGTTAGTATAGACATAAATTAGGATTGATTGACGTATTCAATTGTGTTTGGTCACTTCTTTCTTCACCGGAAATTACTATAACTTTTTATTTTTAAATGGCAACCTCGGTATTTTTTACTTTATTCGATAGAAAATGACACTCTGAATAGAATGCCATATCATACGTCAACTTTTGACATTTTCGCTTAAAAAAATCGTATTTTAAATTACAATCTAGAGTTAAAAACACTTATCTTTAATTAAGGAGCCTTGGAAAAATAAATTTGATCGTCTAATGTTTTTCGTGTCTTGTCCTGGCCGACTAAAAGATGCCCAAATCGTATTTTTAGTCATATCTCAACTTTTTGAAATGGAACAAGGGTGCCTCATTAGCATATTTGGAAAAAGTATTTTTTTACTAATAATTTGGTACCACACACTTGGTATTCCGAGTCAAATTTTCGTTATGAACCGCATGTTACAATTTCAAATAAACCATATGCGAATATGATACGCTATTCTATTCAAAGTATAATTTTCTGTCGAATAATGTAAAAAAATAAAGAGGGTGTCGTTTAAAAATCAAAAGTTGTAGTCATTTCCTGTGAAACAGGAAGTGACCAAAAACAATTGAATACGTCAATCAATCCTAATTTATGTCATATACTAACACACCAAATTTCGTGTTTTTATCTGAAAAAATAAAAAAGTTATAGGGGGTGAGCCACTTTTGAGACGCACCCGGTATAGTCTGTCCAGTGGGAGAACATATATTTCAGTGACACTTTTGTCTGTCATTTTTATTTAAAAGTTGTTTGTCGAACTCTTCTTAGCCAAAAGCATATCAAATATAGAAACCTTAATTTTTTGAAACAATCAATATTTTACTGCTTACTTAACAAAATAAATATAATTTAATTCTAACAAGTATTGGCAAATAATACACTTATTCCATATTAGAAGACAATTTTTTTCGTTATAGTGATAATGTGGGTCTACCTATATCTCTTAGTCAAATTTATCTATAGGCATTTCTACGTTCTCGTTCTTATTAAACAACTCATCACCTAAATTGCTAATGTCTGCCTGCTTCCAACTTATATACAACTGGCTTTTTATGTAGAGGTCGTATTACTTAACCTTAGCAGCGAGCATTGAATGAAATAAGTAGCCTGGTGGTCCCCCTGCACCATATTATAGGTATTTTTATATTCGTTTAGTTTTTTCTTATTATACAGTGTCGGCGAGGTCTGCCTTTGGGTGCTAATTTTCGTGTGTACGAAGAGTAGTGCCAGTAAGCTCAGTACACAATAAGATGTACTGCTTTAGAAATATATTGTTACGTTTTTCGTCGGTTCCGTGTGGATAGAAAGTCTAATTACACAATTTATTTTACACTAAGTAACAAAACAAAAAGGATAATACTACTTAAAGAACTATTTACAACTTATTAACTATTTATCTACACAACGATTTGGTTGTTTTTGTCCTCCTCAGGCCTCAGGCGTCGCGTCGGTTTATTAATCACCAGTTTTTATTAAAAATAAAACGAATATATATTATTATAATAAACGTTATTTATATTTCTAGGTCATTTTTTGGCTTGAATTCTGTCCTGTTACTAAGTACTAGTGCCGCAGGAGTCTATTCTATCTCCTGCTGCTCAAGTGCTTATCAATGGGAGTTGAATGTACGTCGAAGCCATCTAGCGACTGGTAGCAGAACTAGACTTCTACTTTCACAGCGCCAGCAGTGTTTGGTAACTAAACTAACAAATCTACGTTACTGTAAGTTAATCTTTTAACAATCTTATTAGTATTTTGAACAGTTTACTTTTAACAGTTTTTTTAATAAATTATTTCATCTTTGTGGCGTGGAAAATAACAAACTTCTAAAGAATACTGTCCTTTATTTTCATAATCTTCAAGCCATTATTTTTCTTCAAACTTTCAGTATTCTTTTTCTTCAAATTCTTGCAATGTCTTGTACTTTTGAGACACTGACTTGTTGCAATTACAGTAATATTTGTTCTTGTAGGCTTGGTTGTGATGGAAGCACTTCCACCTTGGATGGGTGCAGTAACATAGGCTGTTATGCTTTTACTGCAACATAGGATCAGGTTATTTTTGGATAAACTAGCTTTGATTTCATTCTGAGTCAGTCAAACTTTAATATTTATGTAATAGCCCCCCATATTAAAACACTATACAACAGGCTGACTAGTTTCGTGACGTCATATATCTTTGTCTCAAGCCTTTATCTTCACGTAGGTTGTGGCTCTAGTTTTAAAGACACATTTTTATATTAATAAATATCTTCAGAATGATATAGCATGGCACCATATGATCGAAAAATAAACAGCGTCAGCGATGGCTATCAAATGGACATTACAGCCTACTGGACGCCGTTTTTTTCGATCATACGGTATTTCTTTTGGAACTAAAATTCTTAGATATAAATAAAACACGTATACAGGGTTGTTCACCACATACGACACGGAGTATTGTAACTAAACGACTAGATTTTTACAAATTGTAAGTTTTGGGTTCGTTGAAGGACTATTAGAGCTACAATTTAAAAATATTTTTACAAGATACAGAGTGTCCCAAATAAATAAAAAAATATCAGTTTGTATTTTTAAATGGAACACCCTATATATTATTACATTTTTTAGTTCTACGATTAAAATAAAGGTAAATTTGATTAGGTTTATTACACTTAAACCTTACCGTTTTTGAAATATTTTCAATTTTGTGAAATTGAAGTATAAATTTTAAGGCTTCATTTCTCCGGGGATATCAAAGTTTTAATACTAAATATTTACTAAAGTTTATTTATTGATCAGTTATTGTAAGTTGCAATAATAAAAACTTTACTACCTTATACAGAGTGTCTAAAATTTATTTTAAATAATTAGTAGCTTTAAACGGCAATAACTTGTTTAATTTAAATGGAACACCCTGAATATTTTATGAGAATCAGATGCACAATTTAATTGTCTATCAAATTGTATTATACCATTTTTACCTATCTTCAAGTTTCCGTAGAAAATGCATTTTCTTCTAACTTAGAACTCATTTATCAATATACCCATGGAATACTGACATTTTAGATTATTTTTAAGGATGTACCAAATTTTTAAAGAGTACAGATACTAATATAGTCGATATAGTTTGTTTATTTCATTAAAAAATAAATAAAAACTGTTAAAATATTTGTTAAAGAGGACCAGTTAATATGATTCCAGTATTCAAACTACATTAATTGACTGTTTGCGTTGATTAATAATAAGCTCCAAATACTAAAAAATCGAATTATGTATGTGAATTAGAGAGTGTGGTAAAAAGTAACACCTTAAAAATGATATTTAATTTTTTGACAAATGCTTATTTACAATGCTTTTACTTTTTTTTTTACAGAGACGTTCATTTCATAACTTATTAATATATTGATTTCTGATTCAAATCCACATTTATTTAGAATAATTTATTAACGAACACAATTAAGTATGTAGTTAATTAGTATTTGGGCGGAAATACTGGTGGTATATTTAATTAATGGTATACTCTTTTATAAAGATTTAAATAGTTTTCTTTTTTGCAGCAATGGGTTAGTAATATTATCGTTTTACTAAAAACGATAGTATTACTAGCCTGTATATTTTGTACATTTGTTGTTTTAAAAACATCTAAAATGTCAATATTCCTATAAATGGGGTCTAAATCATAAGAAAATGCATTTTCTACGAAAACTTGAAGGAATAGGTAAGAAGTGGTATAAAGCAATTTGATAGACAATTAATTGTGCATCTGATTCTCATAAAATATACAGGGTGTTCTATTTAAATTAAATAAGTTATTGCCGTTTAAAGCTAGTAATTATTTAAAATAAATTTTTAGACACTCTGTATAAGGTAGTATAATTTTTATTATTGCAACACAATAACTGACCAATAAATAAACTTCAGTAAATATTTAGTATTAAAACTTTGATATCCTCGGAGAAATGAAGCCTTAAAATTTATACTGCAATTTCGCAAAATTGAAAATATTTCAAAAACGGTAAGGTTTAAGTGTAATAAACCTTAATCAAATTTACCTTTATTTTAATCATAGAAACTAAAAATGCAATAATATACAGGGTGTTCCATTTAAAAAAATACAACTTTGATATTTTTTATTTATTTGGGACACTCTGTATCTTGTGAAAATATTTTTAAATTGTAGCTCTAATAGTCCTTCAACGAACCCAAAACTTACAATTTGTAAAAATCTAATCGTTTAGCTACAATACTCCGTGTCGTATGTGGTGAACAACCCTGTATATCGGTAAAGTTGTATATTATATTAAAAGTAAGAAAATACAAATTTAATATATTAGAAAAATAATTTAATTTTTAGTCAATATTTTGTACAATATAAAACATAAAAAATATATAAAAAATGACAACATTTATTTGTACTTAACATTTTCTTTAGGACTCACACACACAAAAAAAATAAAACACTAGAATACACGTCATAAGTTTACTACATTTTGATCAATTGGAAAATTTGCCTTCCCTTTCAGAACTGACTTCTGTACGTGCTAAAATAAAAAAAAACATTTTTAATCTTGTAATTTTTAGTAATATATAAGGTGTTTGTAATATTAATACCTTCGCAAATCTATCGCATATTATTTTATCAGCCTCACGAAGACGTCTACCATATTTATCCACATTTTTCTGTTTAACTTCCGGTAATTTCCTGTAATTTCTTTTGGTAATTTCCTTCATTTCTTTTTCAGTGTACAGCTTCACATTACCTAAAAAATAAACACTTTCTGTATACAGGATGTGTCATAATTAAATTTAAAAAATCATACTGTTATTTCTATGTTGTTTGTCCTCTAAAAAGTTCATTTTTAAGGCGTCTTTTTTTTGCTCCCTCTGTATTCTGGAGTTCAGCATGAGCTGTCGTCTGTATTCTGCAGAATATATGAATTCTGGCCGGTTTTCTATTAAGTAGTCCTTAAAAAAAATATAATAAACTAATAAATGCCAGAGGTATAACACTTTATTATCAATAATTTTCCATAAAATATCTTAAATGTTTTATCCTATTTAGGGAACACCCTGTCTATTGAATAAACCAACCTTTAAAGAATACTGTCGTTTACTTTCATCATCTTGAAGTCCATTATGTTTCTTCAAACTCCCGTTTCTATTCTTTTCATGACTGTTTCTTCTGTCTTTCGATTTTTTTGATTTTTCAACTTTGGGAACTTGAACTCTGACCTCCTCAGAAAATCTTCCTTTATTTCCATCAGTTTTTTCATCATTTCCACCATTTTTTTCCTCTAAAATCAACGTATATGCAGTTCCATGTCTCTGTTTCTTCACAGTTTCAAGCAACTTTTCTCTGCATCTTTTGCAATATGTTTTGGACTTTTGAAACATTGCCCTGTTGTTATTATAGTAATTATTGTTATTATAGGCTTGGTGATGATAAAAGCAATTCCACATTGGATGGGTTTGGTAAGCTTGGTTATTATATCCTTTACAGCAACATAGAGACTGGTTATTTTTGGACAAAGTAGCTTGGATCTCATCCTGAGTCAATTTTCTGCCACAACAAGCACAATTGTTCTGTGTGGATTGTAGTGTTAAAGGTCCATGATCGAGAATAGATGTTGGGATACTTACAGCTGAAGAACAGAAAGAAAACATTAATGAATTTTTAAACAGAAGAGTAGTATGAAAAATTTCCGATTTCACCCTGTATACAGCAAACATCCATGCAATAAATTACAGGGTCCGGCAATAATGAGTCGGGCATCTGTAGCTCCTACAAAAAAAAACATGAGAATTTTGTGAGAAAGTGCAAACCAAAGGATATATTTCAGGGAAATATTTTAACTTCTATAGGGTGGCTCAAAAAAGTGTGGGTGGATCGGGATGATTTTTTAAATGGAACACCCTGTATATTATTGCATTTTTAGCTTCCTTTCAGATCACTTAACCATAATCCCCCAAGATATGAATAAATATATTTCCGTAGTTTTAGAGATATTAATAAATAAATAAAAAAAATATATATATATTTTTCAGCCTTTCTTAAAACAAATTATTAAAAATACAAGAACTGTCCTGAAATCAGAACTATATTAGGTAATTACTTTAGATGGGTTGTACTTACTTTGCTATAAATATGGTCATCGTAAATCATACAGGATGTTCAAAATTCTACGGTAAAAAACTTTCTAAAATATAAAATAATATTTCTTCGTTTTTTTTTTACTGGAACACCCTGTACATTATTTTTTCAATAGATGGAAAATTAAAAAATGAACATTTTTTGTATTTAGAGAATTTCAAAATTTTAAACGGTTTCGCAGATATTTGCGGTTTTATATTTCATATGGCATTTTCCGCATTTTCCATAGTAAATTTTTATCAAAGCCACCCAATGGTTTTTCTCTTATTTTACCATTGAAAGAGCCATATGAAATAATACTGGCTGTATCTGCGAAACCATTAAAAATTTTAAAATACTTTAAATACAAATCCATCTAAAAAAAACAAAGAAAAATTATATTTTAAAAAGTTTGGTTTAGAATTTTGTATACCCTGTATGATTTAAGATTACGATATTTATAGCAAAGTAAGTATAGACCATCTAAAGTAAATATGTACCTAATATAATTTTGATTTTAGGACAGTTTTTTTTTAAGAAGGTTAAAAAATATATATTTTTTCTTATTTATTAATACCTCTAAATTGTCGAAATATATTTACTCATATCTTAGTATTAAAGGGTATTATGTAAAATGATCTAAAAGGAAACCAAAAATGCAATAATATACAGGGCGTTCCATTAAAAAAAATCATCCCAATCCACTCACACTTTTCTGAGCCATCCTATAGAATTACAGTTGAGGGTTGGAACCTTTGGTGTTACACAGCAAAATAAAACACTAAATCACCACAATACACCAAAACACTTTTAACACTGGACGCGCGTTTCGCTAAAATACAATCTAGAAGCAAACTAGAAGATCAATATTAACTAGATTTAAAGAACATTTAGCTCAGATAAGATATGGTAGATCGGATAAATCTTGCGTTGCCGAACATATTGTTGATAAAGAGCATTGTATAGATCTTAATAATTTAAAATTAATTAAACAAGTCTCAAATTACAGGCAATTAGATGCATATGAAAGCATCAGAATTAATAAATGTAAAGATAGTATGAACAGAGACAACGGTCCAATTCCTTCAAGTTCTTTGTTCCTACTACTCTAGTAGCGGAAATCCAACTGTTACGCTCAGTGGGCTCTGACTCGGTTGGCTAGATCTTGCCACGCCCACTCGGTGCCCACTGAGTGAGTATATAAACGCTCAAATTGTAGATTGTATTTTAGTTTTTAATCATCTGCTGATGATGCTAACATGGTTAGCGAAACGCGCGTCCAGTGTAAAAGTAAAAGTGTTTTGGTGTATTGTGGTGATTTAGTGTTTTATTTTGCCATCCTATAGAAGTTAAAATATTTTCCTGAAATACATGTTTGCACTTATTCAAAATTCCAAAGTTTTTTATTCTAGGAGCTACAGATGCCCAACGCACTATTGTCGGACCCTGTATATTATAAATAATAAAAGCTGAAGAAAATTATGTGTCACTAAAACAATGAGTTATCTTACAATCCTGTGATTTCCATAGCAAAACCTAATGATTTACGTTTAAACTATATTAGGTCACCCTCCATATTTGCCAGATTTAGCTCCCAGAGAAATATTATTGGTGTGATTTCACAAGATTTTGTAGAAAAATAATAAAAAAAAAATCAAAAAAAATGTTGTGTTATCATTGTGAAGTCGGCAACTTTTAAAACTACCCCCTCCTAAATAAAACATCAATTTTCTTACTAGTGCTACCCATTTGTGAATACATAGCAGATGTTTCATCATCACTCCCTGATTTTTCTTCACTATCACCGGACTTTCCAAATGTACCAGAATCCTTAGACTCGCTTTTAAGCTTCTGCAAACTGTTTTTATTTATCTGAACGCTCCTTGTGGAATTTTGGATCATCTGTGTACCATTATTAACCATTTTTTCAGTGGATCTAGCAGGCGCACCGGCATCCTTATAAGCATGTTTTACAGTTTCAACACTTCTTGAAGTGCGTTGGCCTCTATTTTGGGACATATGTGTACCAATATTAACCATATTCTCACTAAACATACCAACATCCTCGGTAGCTTGTTTTATAGTTTCAACACCTCTCGAGGCGCATTGGCACCTACTTTGGGACATCTGTATACCACTATTAACCATGTTTTCGCTAAACCCAGCAGGAACACCAGTATCTTTAGAAGTTTGTTTTTCAGTTTCAGTATTTTTATTAACTGAGTTGTCTATACCAATTTCAACACTTCTTGAAGAACTCTTCACTGTCCCTGAATTATTAACACCAAATTCTCTAACAAGTGCCTCCTCAGTTTGAATCTTTCTATCAATTGAATCACTTCTTAATCCCCTCAAACCTTCATGATCTATTTGAACACATTTTGAGCAACATTGGCATCTACTTTGGTACATCTGTGTACCACTATTAACCATTTTATCACTGAACATAGTAGGTACACCAACATCTTTACAAGTTTGTTTTTCAGTTTCAATTTTATGATCAACTGAACCATTCATACCAATTTGAGTACTCTTTGAAGAACTTTTAAGTGTCCCTGTACTATTAACACCAAATTCCCTGACAAGAGCCTCCTCAGTCTGAATCTTCCTATCAATTGAATAATTTCCTGATCTCTTCAAAAGATCATTATCTATTTGAACAAATTTTGAGCAACATATATGGCATCTGTCTGTTTGAATAATTTTATCACCTTTAGAAGTACTATCTGTTCTTTTTTGGGCTTGTTTAATATTATCAATGGATCTGCTTACTGAATCAGCTATTGCTTCTATTTTCTCATCAAATTTCAGACTTGGCGAGCCATTTTTTTCACCTTTAAAAGGGCCCTTCACATCTTCATAGTTCAAAGCTTTTGAATCAAATTCCTTTTTAGCATTATTAAAGAGCAATTTACCATTTGAACTAGATTTACTAGGAAATCTTTCTGAATTGCTTTCAGCATTCTTTCTGAATCTCTCTAATAAACTTTCTTCATCTATTTGAACATTTTTTGAGGCACATTGAAGCATCTCTGTACCACTATTAACCATTGTATCATCAACTGAATTATTTATACCAATTTGAACACTTTTTGAAGAACCTTTAATTGTCCTTGTACTATTAACACCAAAATCTCTGACAAGTGACTCAGTCTGAATCTCATTATCACTTGAATCACGTCCCAATCTCTTCAATATTTCATTATCAATTTGAACAAATTTTGATTTACTATCTGTTTTGTTCTGTGCTTGTTTAATATTATCAATGGATCTACTAACTGTATCAGCTATTGCTTCTATTTTCTCCTCAAACTGAAGACTTCTTGCACCATTTTTTTCACCTTTGGAAGGATCTTTTCCATCTTCATAGTTCAAAGCTTTTGAATCAAATTCTTTTTGAGCATTATTGAAAAGCAATTGACCATTTGAATTACTAGTTTTACTAAGAAACCTTTCTGTATTGCTTTCAACATTAGTTCTGAATCTCTCTAATAAACTTTTTTTATCTATTTGAACATTTTTTGATGCACTTTGGTATCTATTTTGGAGCATCTCTGTACCACTATTAACCATTTTATCACTAAACATAGTAGGTCCACCAGTATCTTTAGAAGTTTGTTTTTCAGTTTTAATGTTTGTATTAGATGGATCATTTATACCAATTTGGACACTTTTTGAAGAACTTCTAAATGTCCCTGTACTATTAACGCCAAAGCCTCTGACAAGTTCCTCTTCAGTCTGAATTTTCTTATCAATTGAATCACTTCTCAATCTTTTTAAACTTTCATAATCAATTTGAACACTTTTTGAAGTACATTTGCATCTGTTTGTTTGAATCTTTTTATCGCCATTTTTTTGGTTCTTTAAACTACTTTTTTTAGAAACACATTTATTTACGTCCCCTACACCATTCTTATGTTCTTCATTGGTCATTTTATCTACAGATTTTCCATTATCTTCATTTATTTGTATCAAACTCTTCAAATATTGGACTTGTTTGTCCAAAGAATCAACTTTACTTTGTACTTCCTTACATATTTTAACAGGAACGCTTTCTTTTACTTGCATACCTACATTACTTGAAGGTCTAGGAGTATAAAACATTTCTTTGGATTGTGAAAAATGTTTGGCGAGCTTTTCAACAAATGGGCAGGTACATTTTGAATTGGTAGCATGGGTACAGTTACAATTCTGAAATGCTTTCTCTAAAGAGTTTGATTTTTTTTCATCAAAATCTTCAGGTAAAAATTCAGACTCCTTCTTTTCTCTATATTCACTCTCAGGTTTGGTTCTATAAGATTCAGGTTTCTTTAAAGAACCTATGTTTTTTGGTTCTCCTAAAGATTCAGGCTTGCATATACAGATAATATGCTTACAAACATTACAAATAGTGCTTACTTTTATGTTAGTACAGCTTGTTTTTGAATCTACCGCGATATCAGCTATTACAGAACTTTTAGATACTTTACTAGAGTCGTCACAATGCGCTACAGTGAATTTTTGACCATCAATAAAATATTTAACGTTTGCACCTGGGGGAATCCCTTGATCAGTCTCAATAATATATTCTCTCTCTAATTCTTTGTTAGTTTTTTCATCTTTTCCTAATATTTTGTATTTTGAAGATTTCTTCTTGGTTTCTTTCTCACTTCCGCTGTTGTTTTTAGCTTCAAGAAATCTTTTAAGCTTGGATAAATGTGAAATTTCATTATCAATCCATGCTATCTGATATAACCTTTCATTTTCAGCGAACTGTAGTAAATAATCTCCATTGGACTTTGATTTAGATTTTTTTTTAACTATACTTTCAGGCTCAGTAGAATCAGTGTTAGTTTTAGTTGATTTTTCTTGTACAGAATCTCTTGGAAGACTTGCTTCATTATTACTGTTTGATGGACTTGAAGATCTTTCCTGGCTAGACTCACTAGAGAACATAATCTTTTTAATAACCTTCTTTATATAGTCCTTGTTTTTAGTAACTTTGTCCCTTTTAGAAGACAAAAATACTTGTAAAAGATCAACCACTTTATCCATGTCCTCTCTACTATCACTTGTTTGAGATTTAGAAGATCCTGATGACATTTCTTTTACAGAACAGCCTGAAGATTTCCCTAAGCTAGAGTCTTTTTTGTGAACGTTACATTGGGCTTGGGAAGACTGTAAAGAAACAAGATTACTACTGATATACTCAAAACTATCACAACTTGAACCTTCCGGTTCACTGGTCTCGCTGTCTGAATCTAATTTTTCTGTTTGTATAGCTATTTCTTCTGCATTTTTTTCATATAGACAGTCAAGAGTGAGTGGAGTCGACATAGTAAGCTGAACTACTTTTTGATTAGTTCTTTTTACACTAGTTTCTTCCTGGGTACTTTCTTTATCAGTTTTTTTAATTGGTTCTTTTTTCTGTTTCTTTATAGCACCTTTGGAAACATCAGATATTTTAGTGTCTTCAATTTTTACGTCACCTGATGAAGATTTCTTAGTTCTCTCCTGGTCTATGTTCCCCTGATTTGAATCAGTATTACAACAAACATTAGATATTTTTTCCTCATCTACTGCACTAAGAACTGTAGTTTGGTGACTCTTTATGTATTCTCTAGAGCTTGTTTTTGGTGTAGTATATATGTTTTCACCATGAACAGGTTCTGGAAGTACTGGTGTGGAAAATGCAACAGGTAACCCAATTTTTTTCTTCAAACTTGACAAACTAACTCCAAAATTTATAATTTTATTTTCTTCCTCAGATGAACTTGTACTAGGAATTGGAGAAGATTTTGTTTTAGCACTACTAGAACTCTCACTAGAAGGTTTCTCTATCTGTGCATGCTCTATCGACTCATCTGAACTGCTTGTTGATCCGAAAAGTAATATTTTGACATTTTCTGAAGGCGATAAGTCAAAATGGACTTCTTTAGAGCATAATTTTGAAGGTAGTGAGTTACTTCTTTGCAAAGTACTAGCTTTAACAAAATCCTGAGACTCTTTTATGTCAATTGCATCACTGCTACTATGTACGGATCGGCTTGAGCCTTTCGCAGTACTTGGTCCCTCTAGTGATTGCAATTTCTTAGCGCTATAAATGTCTGTGGTACTGCTTTCGGTAATAATTATTTTAGGAATATTGATGGCTAATGCTGGAGTTTCTTCATCAGAAATTGGTGCATATGTGATGGTGGTTGAAGTTCCAGAGAAATACTTTTGAAGATGGGGGTTTTGGGAGTATTTTTTGTAATATTCTAACACTTGTTTTGTTGATGAATCTTCATCTGAATTACTCATAACTATACAACACTGTTACCTATAATATTAACAGGATATTATTTACATTTACTCTTTCATGACAATGTTTATAATGCCAAATTAATTGATTATTAAAATGTTAACAGTTTTATAAATTTACCTGTGTAGATATAGATAAAAAATATATATGAATAAAAGTATTAATAAAAAAGTAAGATGTTTTATTTCCAAATATTATAGTCGTACTTACCAGTCATGTATTTTTTTAAATAAAAATAACTGCTACTCAATATTCAAAATACAAATTTAAACCCCACTTTTAATTTTGTTTACATTTGATGAAAACACTAAAGGCCGATTCACATAGATTAAATACGAAGTTTCCGTTTTTTTATTAATTTCTAGAAAATTTGTATTAAATATCAAAACAGATCATGAAGAATAAAATTATGTAGAGGTAAAAATTACTGCTTACTCTATTTATTATATAGATAAATATTTATTAGTTATTTTGAATTTATTAAAAAAAAAAAGAAATGAGACAGTCTTTCTGAATCAACCTTTATTTTCTAGAAATCTACAATCTTCAACCAAAATTACAGAAAACTGTAAACTGATAGTATGGCTACTAGTCCATAGATGGCGCCAAGGAAAATAAATATCTTAATAATAAAACTTAAATTTATTTTTTATTAATTCAATACTTTATTCGATTACAAACTAACAAAAACTTATTTATAATTCACCTGGAGGAAAATAAGGTCTAGGTTTACGCGCAGAATACGCAAAATCTTCCCTTTTATGATAAGGTTCATAAGGATCATCAACATAATATTTAGGTTTTCTCCAATAACTACCAACCATTTTATCCAGAAGATAGCTTTGGGTAGCGTTACAAAACACGTGCTGTCTCAATCTTCGCCTCCTTGAGGCCCTTTTCTTCCACAGTCTCTTGTGACGACCACACTTTGTCCTGATCCATATACCCCAATCTAGCCTGTAAAATCTCTTAATTACAGCTTTGTTCGCCTTTCTTCTACCTTTTCTTATAGAGAATTTTGTAAGGGTCTTCGTATCGACCAGGTTTATTCTGTTCTTGATTAGTTGAGGCTCATTTAAAAGGGTATTATTCGGCTTGGTGTGGAGTACTGAGAAATGCTTTCGGATGACTTGTTGTACTAAACTAGGCTGGTATACGTTCTTGAATAATTTTCTTGCTGTTAGAACTGACGTGGCACGGCATTTTGCGGCTAAAAATAAAGAGTTTTATTAATTTTTTAAATAATTAAAAAAATTGATATATATTTTGTCTTTTTTTAAACTTGAAAGTTAGAAAAGAACAGATATAGTGCAGTGACAGTTCGCTGCCAACCCAAAAGTAAACTCCCCAGAATCTAACCTAGAAATTCGAACCGAGAAACAAAAGCTCTCAAATATTTGACAACTTTAAAGAGAAACTTTAGAAAACTATAAAAACAACAAGCCCACAAATTCCGGAGGTATTTGACAAAATTTCCGTGCAAAAATACTTCCCGGACGTACCTGAAATCAGCGTTCGAAACATCCTCCAGTTCGAAGTTCACGAGTTTTGACTTTTCCACCAGGGTCGGTATCGTCACCAATCGTCAAGAAACAGAATTTTCCGATCTTTTTCAAAATTCCGCTCCCAAAACCCGCGGTGGTTCTACCAGAGAATGTTGATGTTGAAAGTGGTCCGTAAACTCCTAATCAGAAGAGCAGCATGGGCAAGTCTCACACAAATTAATTTTTTTTTAAACTTAATTGCTGTTATGTCATCTCTATTTACATCTAAAAAAACTTTTTTACCGTTTTTTTAGAACTTACTAAATTTACCCCAGTCAAACCCCAAGTGTATTACTGCCAGCAGCTGTATATCGAATGGAAATGGTAGTTTTGCTGTAACAGTCAGACAATACAGTGACAAAAGCATTTGTCCTCCGGGACAGTCTCCAAAATCCAAAGGAGATGAAGGGGGCAGTGGGGGAAAGTTCCTTTTGACCCTCGGGGCCATAGCATTAGCTGGTGGAGCCACTCTGGCTTACGCAAAATATGACGAAAACTTCAGAAAGACCTTAACCACCTACGTACCCTTTACAGGAACGATACTTGACACTCTGGATAACAAATCATTATCCGATCTGTACAGCGATACGAAAAAGTCCGTTTTGGGTAGTATAGTAGGTGAGGACAAGGTTGAAAAAAGAAAAAAAGACATCATTCCACCTCCAAAGGAATATAAAGGTAATTTTTTGAGGTTAATTGGATATTTTTGTGATTTTTGAGCCTTTGCTGTGTGATATTAACAGTGTTCTTGTACTAAACAGCCCCTTCACCGATTTTGCCGGCTTTGAAAAAAGAATGCAAAGATAAAGAGGAGAGTTATAACGAAATTTGGCTTGAAGAAAAGGATGAAGGTTCGGATGAACCCAAAGTTAACATCGGTACATAATTACTAATTTTTTCTCGATTTTTTTTAGCATGCAATTTATTTTTGAATCAATTAGACACTAAAAAACATCTTTTTTTGTAGCGGGTGACCCTAAACCTAGAGCTTCCGAAACTGATACAAAAGCTCTTGCGGAACTAGAAGAAAAAATATGTCTCTCTGCTACCGAAGCTGTGAACGCATATAACAAAGCTGTCCACGTTCTTTTGAGCTATAACCAGGACATAGAGCACATAATTGATGAGGCTGTCAATCAAGTGAGGCCAGAGGTGTGGGAAGATGTCAGACAGAAAACCAAATCAAAGACTGAGTGTATCAAAAGAGCCGAAGAAAAAGCCGAACAAGCTACTAAAGATGTCAACAGGTTAAAAGAGCTGATTTCAAGTCCAAACTTCGTAGCTTCGGAAAACACGAAGGTTATTATAAGAAATAACATTTCCAAAGTGCAAGACGACGTGGAGACTGCTAAAAAAGAGTATCAATCGGCCTTGAAGCACGGAGATGTATCTGAGAAATACTGGGACAAAGTTGAGAGAGCCAGGAAGAATTTCTCGGAAGAGTTAGAGATCTTATTTCCGAATATAGATCTAGGTAAAAAGAAATTGGTGTTGAATCAGGAGGAGTTGGACCTGTTTATATTACATGTTTATGCCAATGTGTTGTTCTATCAGAAGGAGCTGGCCAAGATGGAGACGTTGTTGCAAGGCAAGGTTGAACATGCCGTGGAGGCTGCTAAGAAGGGTGGATTGGAGCCCTTGACTATTGCGCAAATTTGTGAGGCTGTGGAACAGGAAAAGAGGAGGTTGACAGCGTGTTTCCAACAACAGGTAGTGATTTTTTATAGTTTTTATTAAGTTTTACATGTTTTTGTTATTATTGAAGAAACATAACCTATGATTTTTAATGGACTTTAAAAAATTAAACTTTAATCTCTTTTTTTTACTTTGTATGTGTAAAAGTAAGGGTAATGGTGTGGATCCGGTGGCTGACCTTGAAACGAGTTTTTGCTGCATATAGTCACAGACACTACGCATGCGCACATCTTCGATGTTGCCAGATTGTGAGTTATTTTGGAATTATTTTCAGTAGAAAACAAATATGTGCTTTTCAGTGTTTTTTTGTCAATATATACCGTATGATCGAAAAAACGGCGTCCAGTTGTCTGGGAAATGACGATTGAGGACATTTCCATAAAATGACAGCGATCTTCATTTCATAGTCATTGCTGACGCTATTTTTTTTTTTCAATCATAGTACGCGGTATATTATTTTAATATTTCGCACAATACGTGAACGCTTATTATGTATTTTCAGTCAATAAAATTATATAGAAATAAAACTCTAGATTCCTATCTAGATTATTATGCTACGTTTAAAAAGTGCTTTATTAAAAATTCGGGATGTGTCCAAATTTTCTCTTTTTTTTAAATTTTTAAATGCTGTAGCTCCATGTCATGTTCATAATAGATTTTTTTTAACATTCCATCAAAACTACGGAGGCCTTAAAAGGCCTTTTAGCCTCCGTAATTAAAATTGTAGAATCAGCTTCAGCAACATTAACAGTTACCTTGTTTAATTCTGCTTATACATATATTGCATTAATTTTCTGCTACATTAAGATTTCTCTATTCTTACACCTAATTTATGTGATTTTCTTAGCATATATGATTTATAAACCATATTTTTCCTAATGGAAGGATGAATAGGATATGCAAAATTAAGATATTTTAACATTTATTTTCCAGACCAAGCATAATATAGTATTAAGATGAAGACATAACAAATATTATAAGAAAGATCTTAATATAAATCACAAACTAAGTCTTAATTTAGTCTTGTATTTCTATTATTATTATTATTCTTATAAAACTAATAAGATCAAAACTCAACCTTCACCATATTGTCAAGATTTGGCATTATAGGAAACAAGAAATTACAGTAAATTAAGAAAAGAATAACAAAGTACACGATATTAAATACTGTAATGTATTTTACGATACAAACCATCTCCCTTCTAAAGAGAAAAAGATAAAACATAAAGCTTATTTTAGTCTTATCAACACACTCTTCGATAAAATCCACTAACTTGATATCTATGCTTGATATTTTTAAGAAATTATGATACAAACATTAATTATAATCAAAGTATATTATATTAGTAACATTATATAATAGGTAAAATGTTACCTCTATCTCCGATTGACGTTTATTGTTCTATAATAAGACCCGTCATGGTAGTACTTCAAAACATCAATACATGCATATAATCAAAAATATTGTTGCCTGTAAATAACTAGAAATTAAATAACTTGAAAGAAATAAAATAATTCTAATAAGTTTAAAACCATTAAGAAAAAATCCGTAAATGATAAATTTTAATTCTAATGTAAACATATAAATAAATGTTATTATTAATACAATATTATATATTATAATACTTTCATTTCACAATCTTCATTATCCTTCTTACCTTAATTTTGGATATCAAGATAAATCTGAAATTATAGAATTTGTATTATTATTGATTAACACGCCAAAAAAAATTTTCAACTGCAAATAATTCGAAAATAAACTGCAATTTGGCAACATCGACGATGTGCGCTTGCGTAGTATCGATGATCAAAAGCAGCAAATATGGGCTTCAAGGTCAGCCACCGGATCCACACCTTTACCAAAGTAAGTTCCTAGTGCTCAATAACATTGTTATTTCGTGTTTCTTTTCTAGACTGAGATAAAATTAAATTTTCAGGGATGGGTAAAAAAAAATTGACGTAAAAAACTAATTTCTTACGTGTATAAAACTGTATCTTTACGAGGTGGTTTTTTACGTTTTATAAAAACATAATACATAAATAAACGTTAGAACATTGCGTCTACAGATTAGTAAATCTTCTTTAACACATTTAAATGAACATTTTTGTAAATTTTTATATTTATATGGTGTTATTTCAGAGTCTACTATGACACGTTTTTTTCAATAATACTGTATTCTAAATTATTATTGTGTTGTGTGCCTGTTAGAATAAAATAATTATATAATTAATAAGAAAAATATTAGGTGCTGAAATTGAGGAAAGATGCAGAGATAGAATTAAGAGAACAGTTGAAGAGACAGTCACAGGCCTTCAATGATCATTTGAACGAAGCGATCAAGACGCGTGAAGAAGAAATAGAGAGGATTTTGACCAGGAGATTCGACGAACAATTAGAGGAAGAAAGGTGCAAGTTCAAAATGCAGGTAGCCACTATGGTAGGAAGGTTGCACGGCCTAGACGAATCAATTAAAGGTAAGGGCACACTTAAAAACGGGTTATTTTGATCATATATCGAAGTTTTGGGCGGTATATAGAATGACCTATAACTCCTCTTTTAGTCTCTATGTATTTTTAGTTCATTTTAGTTCAAAAGCAAATTGTATTTTCTGCCATTTTTTGAATGTCGTCTGGCGAAATTTTCCCTGACTTGCTGGAGAGACTATAGTGTTTTTTTTATCTAAAAGATAAACGGGTATTTAACGGACTGAAAAATATAAAGGTTTTTTTTCGCAAAAAAATGTAGAAATATTTTTTTTTTCTTTAAAATGGTCTGCATATTTTAGAATCATTTTTAGGCCTGTACAGTCTGACAAACGGATCTGAAACAACGGGGCAACGGTGAGGGGATCGCAATTTTCTAAAATCATGACCGATTTCATTCATAAAATATCCACGAGCGTGCGGTGTTTCATAAAAATATATCAGGAATTTTTATAATATTTTCCAGTAAAGTTTATAATATTATTTTACTTTAAATGTACCTACATTTTGTTTAGTCATTTGCCAAATATAGTAATATTTGTTAAAACGCGTGTACTTATTACAATAAACACAAATCAAGTTAAAGATATAAAACACAATACAGTAACACCGGCACTGGATTTTTCAATAGTAGTGACTGTTTCTACTATTCCTAGAGAGGGGCATAGAGTTGTGGGTAATGGCGGCAAGACGTGCGACCAATCAGACTGGTTGAATCCGGGATGCCATGATGAATTTTGTCAGCGTTGCCAGCTTACCCTAAGCGGACATTATCTTAAGGAAATACTTTACCTTTTATAATAGGCAGAATGAACGAAAACTGTTAATTAGATAAATATACATTATTACAATAAGAACTACGTCAACATATTAGCATATATATAATTATGTATGCTGAAATGAACTAAAATATATTCAATTTATAGGTAATATCGAGCAACTTTGCCTTTCTATAATTAAACGTGACAACATCTACTTTTTTTGTCCGAATTCCTTCCGCTGTTTTAGATTCGTTTGTCAGATAATAGGTTTGTTTAAAATATTCTCAGGATATTTACTTACTACATTCTTAATTCTAACCTTATTTTGAGAACCGCAAAAAGGTAGCGAACATTTTGAGAACCACTGAAAAAATATAAACTTTCTTAACACCTCAAATAATTCACCTGTTGTCCAAAAAGTATCGTTATGCATGTTTGTATAATTTAAAATTTGTTTTAGAACTGCAGGTTCATCTAAAGTTTTCTCAGGATTTTTCCTTAACCTTGTACTAATTTTGTGCAACGTTGTCAGTTCGTACATGACGTACGTTTTTAATTATTGCCCTTATTACGTGAAAATGTTGAGAACTGTCGAAAAACTGGAAACATTTTGTTTGGGAGTCGCAAAAAAATGTGGAAATTTTTGTATTGCCCTTGATTTTTTTCTATATATTTTAGAAAACTTTTTAGAACTGCAGATATGTCTGAAATATGCTCAGACTATTATCTACTTGACCCGTGTAGTTAGAGCGCGCAACGTTGCCACTTCCTACATAACCTTAATTCTTAATTGTCGCTAATAACATTTTGAGAACCGCCGAAAAAAACTAAACATTTTGATGGTCGCCGAAAAAAATGTTATATCCGATTTTCAAAGGAATCATGATGTATCCATTGTATATTTTAGTAAACTGTTTAGTACTGCAGGTTCATCTGAAATTTTCTCAAAATTTTTCTTTAATCGTGTAAATTAATAGTACGTTATATTGCTACTTCCTACATAACCCTACATTTGAAGAACCGCCAAAACAACTGAACATTTTGATAGTCGCTGAAATTAATTTTGACAATTTAAGAGGGTGGCGTAAAAAAACGGCGTCAAAGAAGGCCGGGGAACGACAATCGATGATAATTTTGGCGAGGTCAGTCTCTAGACGTCATTTTCTAAAAATTGACATAAAACTTTTCAAAAATTAACACTATTCATAGAAAGATTGAAAAAGGACTGTAAATGACATCTAGTGCTTGACCTCGTTAAAATTATCATCGATTGTCATTCCCCAGCTGTCTTTGACGCCTTTTTTTTATCATACAGTACTATCAGTTAAAAAAATTATATTTAAGGTACACCTTGCATTCCTGTATAATTTAATAAAAAAAATTAAGGTATTCTCTCTTACCACCTGAAATATTATACCTGCTGTCCGAAAGTCATCGCGATGACTTCTTTCCGTCACCTTTTTTTTGTTGTTTTCAAACGTTTTGATGTTCGATTTCGTTTTTGTTGATGGGAAATTTTTTGGTCTTTACGTCTATCGAGGTATGCACGCACACTATTTTACTCGCACCGAATAGCTAAATAACTGTTGCCTGGGTAACTCATAGAGAAATTCTTCAGCTAGAAACGATGCGGACGCCTCGTCCAAACAGGCCCAGGTGCTGTGGAGCGCGTGCCAGTCCCTGCTGAGGGCCGTCAGGGCGGGATGCCCGGGTATACCGTGGAAGGACCAGATCAGGCCCTTGGAGCCGGAGATCAATGCTGTTGTGAGAGCCGCAGGTTAGTTTAAGAAAAAAAAATGATTTTTTAACGCATTGGCTAAAAAACCGTATTTTTAGTAGAAAATACCGTCATCCGGCGGCATGATACAGTTATATCTGTAATTGCTCCGGTGGAAAAAATAATACACAAAACTTGGTAAAATAAGGGCGGTATTTTTGTTTTTAAAAAAAGTATACCGCTGAAGGGCGGTATTTTTTATATATTTAGCAACAACCGCTGTAGTTGAAAGAGTTACCCGTTGTTCGGCGGTATTTTTCCTTGAATTGCCTATACCGCCGGCCCGGCGGCGGTATATAATGCAGTCAGTTTGTTTTTTATTCTCTTGAAATTTATTTTTAAGCATTTATTAAAATTGTAATTATTAATATGCAGTTTTGGAATATAAAAAATACCGCCATCCAGCGGCATGATACTCTTACATCTGTTATTGCACCAGTGGAAAATTGAATTAATTTGTCGTTAAAAATAACACAAAATTTGGTAAAATAAGGGCGGTATTTCTGTTTTTTAAAAAAGTATACCGCTGAATGGCGGTATTTTTTATATATTTTTAGCAACAACCGCTGTACTTGAAAGAGTTACCCCGTTGTTCGGCGGTATTTTTCCTTGAATTGTCTATACCGCCGGCGGTATATAATTTAGTCAGTTTGTTTTTTATTCTCTTTAAATTTATTTTTAAGCATTTATTAAAACTGATTATTACTTTGCTGTTTTGGAATTTAAAAAATAACGTCATCGGGCGGTATGATACTGTTATATCTATAATTGCCCCGGTGAAAATAACGCATTTGGTAAAATAAGGGCGGTATTTCTGTTATTTAAAAAAGCATACCGCTGATCGGCGGTATTTTTTTCGTGAAATGTTTATACCGCCGGCGGTAACTTATTTTTTTTTTATTTTCTTGAAATTTATTTTGGAACATTTATTAAAATTTGGCGGCATGATACTGTTATATCTGTAATTGCCCCGGTGGATAATTGAATTAATTTGTCGCTAACGGTGGAAAAAATAACACGAAATTTGGTGAATTGTCTATACCGCCGGCGGTATATAATTTAGTCAGTTTCTTTTTTTTATTCTCTTGAAATTTATTTTTAAGCATTTATTAAAATTGTAATTATTAATATGTATGTAGTTTTGGAATACAAAAAATACCGTCATCCGGCGGCATGATACTGTTATATCTGTAATTGCCCCGGTGGAAAACTGAATTAATTTGTCGCTAACGGCGCAAAAAATAACACACGGAATTTGGTAAAATAAGGGAGGTGTTTTTATTTATTAAAAAAGTATACCGCCTAAGGGCGGTATTTTTTTATCTATTTAACAACAACCGCCGTACTAGAAGAATTTGCTTATTTTTCGGCGGTATTTTTTTTCGTAAAATGTTTATACCGCCGGCGGTAAATTAGTCAGTTTGTTTTTTTATTCTCTTGAAATTTATTTTTAAGCATTTATTATTATTATTAATATGCAGTTTTGGAATACAAAAAAATACCGTCATCCGGCGGCATGATACTGTTATATCTGTAATTGCCCCGGTGGAAAACCGAATTATTTTGTCGCTAACGGCGGAAAAAATAACACGAAATTTGGTAAAATAAGGGCGGTATTTTTATTTATTAAAAAAGTATACCGCCGAAGGGCGGTATTTTTTATATATTTAGCAAAAACCGCCGTACTAGAAGAATTTGCTTTTTTTTCGGCGGTATTTTTTCCCGTAAACTGTTTATACCGCCGGCGGTAAATTAGTCAGTTTGTTTTTTTATTCTCTTGAAATTTATTTTAAGCATTTATTAAAATTGTAATTATTAATATGCACTTTTGGAATATAAAAAATACCGTCATTCGGCGGCATGATACTGTTATATTTGTAATTGACCCGGTGGAAAACTGAATTAATTTGTCGCTAACGGCGTAAAAAATAACACACGAAATTTGGTAAAATAATGGCGGTGTTTTTATTTATTAAAAAAGTATACCGCCGAAGGGTGGTATTTTTGGTATATTTAGCAACAACCGCCGTACTAGAAGAATTTGCTTCGTTTTTCGGCGGCATTTTTTTCGTCAGTCTATATCGCCGGCGGTAATTTAGTCAGTTATCAGTTTTTTTAATTCTTTTGAAATTTATGTTTAAGCGTTTATCAAATCTGTAATTATTAATGTGCAGTTTTGGGATATGAAATGGTCTTTTTCAGCTGAAAACGATGAATTGGTTTGTGTGGTTATCGAAGGCATTCCAAAGGAGGCTAAAGAGAGAGGTGTATATCCTGAGGACGCGCTTAGAGAGAGGTTCTTAAAGGTGGAGAAGGTTGCAAGGACGGTTGACTTAATTCCTGCAGAAGGTATGTATTTTATCTTGTCGTTAGGTATGCAACTGTCATTACACAGAGTCCTAATGATATTCACTCTCTCTATTTGTTTGTCTATTTGTTGAAGCCTGAGCGGCACAGCGTTGTCCACTTTTACATATTTTCTTTCAATCAAAATATTTTAGAAAACAAAAGTAAATTAATTATAAATAAATAAACAGTTATTATTTACATCAACAAAACTCACCTTCTTAACAGCATTTAAGGGACATAAAGAGCCATTATTATTGCTTTCCCGGTTCAAAATATTCCAATAAAGTTGCGATGAGGTTTTTGCAACGGCTATTAAGCTATATTGTATAGTTCGCATTAATGTTCATTTGTGCGAAATTTCATACAAACTTTCATTTCTCATTTTACTTCCAACAGCAACTAATAACTTGTTTTCAGGTGCCGCCTTACCTGTTCATATTTTATCCTACATCCAGTCATTATTACTAATAAAAGCCGCTAGTCCCATACCTAGAGCTGAGCTAAACGATGAAAAAATCGATTTTAGTAAACTATCGACAAATGACATTTTACAAAGAGCAAGGTAAGCGTAAAGATAATAAGTCCCTTGTTATAAAACTAGAAAGGGAGTGCAGATAGTCCCTTCTTACATAATAAGAAACACCCTGATTGTAGAATACAGGGTGTTTCAAACAATTTTTGTTTATACAGGGTGTACATACAATAGTGCGTGGGGTATGTATAGCTCCTAGAATAAAAAAAAATTAAGAGTTTTGTGTTAACTGCAACCCCAAAGTATGTATTAGGATGTATTTCAGGAAAATATTTTAAAGTTTACAGGGTGGTTCAAAAAAATTTGAGTGGATCAGGATGATTCTTTTAAAATAATATAATCTATGCTAATATTATAGTATAAGGAAACTAGTAGCTTTACTCCTTGTCAAATCCTTTGTTCTTTTTCTGCCACTTTATATGACCTTGTTCTCGCCTCCCGTGACCACTGACGTAGCTGTATAGTCGTGGTCTATTAACTAGGCAAAGTATAGTCGTGGCACTCGCCATAGTTTCACAGATATGTATTTAAGAAAATATGAGTTTGAAAAATAATATTTAATTAATTACATAATATCTCAGCTTCTAAAATAAACAAATATAATTAAATGTTTATTGACAATTACTATCAGCTTGCCGATTTACATCCGATGGAAATCTAAAAAAACTCAAAGAACAATTTTTTGAATTATTACTACCATTATAATAGCAGCACACAGTAAGGCACTCATTTTTTGTCAATCCGTCTCTGTGCTGGGACGCAACGTTCGAACCTCGCAGCTCGACGGACGGAATTCAACTGAAACGTCTTGCAATCTGCCGATATTCGACAGATTGCAAAAACTGGCAGAAAATATAGTTCGCAATAAAATAAAATAAAAAAAATTGATCATCGAGTAAAAACTTGCTTGAAAACAGAATATTTTCACATTTCGTGTAGGTAACAATTCTTCTGTATCTGAAAATCTTCTGATGGGAAGAAATGCGGAAGAAATATATAATGACATATTTTTATATTATTATCCATTTCAGAGATTTTTTACAACTTTTTTTTGATTTAAAACAAATTTAATTTTCTGTAGATAACTGGATTCGGCATAAAATTTTGCATATAATACACTGTCTTTATTTGAAGCACACTGCGGTGTTGCCATTCTATTTTTTATTTACTAAAACATTGGTTAAAAACATTATATACGAAAAGTGGTAAAAAACTAGAGTGAATATAACTTTATTAGTACTTAGCTATGTTTTCTTAAACATGAAGGATACCAGAATAAATTCGTGTTGAAAAATTTACTTTACCGTATACAGGGTATTTTTTATGGCGTCACCAAAATCGTAATATTTAAAATGTATCTCATTTTTTTTAAATGCAACACCTTGTATATTATTTTTCTTTCAGATGTAGAATTAAAAGGTGAACATTTTTTGTATTTAAAGTGTTTTTCCAAACTAACTTTACCATAACTTTTTTGTGACACTCTGTATATAACAAAATATTTTAGGATACGCCCCTTTATAAACCTTGAAATACGAATAAAACTTTTTTCACATCTTCGACAACGACGACGATATTGGACTTTGTCGCACTAATGGGCCACCCTGTATATTTACGGTGGTTTAAAGTTAGGTGTAGCACTTTTCTACCCTCACATATAAACTCAACATTTTGTCTATAATATTTTGAATATTGTTATATTACGACCACATAAAATAAAAAAAAAACATAAAAAATACAGTACACTAAATTTATAAGCGATTATGCTATTATAAAATTCTTTCAATTAAAAAATATGAATAATTTGCGGAGACTTTAGATATACAAAATATTTACTCTAAAATTGTTTCAAAAACCAATTTATATATAAATTATCTCGTAAATTATTATTGGAATGAAAATTTTATGGCAAATCCCCTGATCAAAAAATATTTTCATGCGCATATTAGAGACAACCTGTATATCTAAGAAAAAAAATTAAAATCTGCCCACATGCTAAAAAAATAATATTTAATTAATTACATAATATCTCAGCTTCTAAAATAAACAAATATAATTAAATGTTTATTGACAATTACTATCAGTTTGCCGATTTACATCCGATGGAAATCTAAAAAAACTCAAAGAACAATTTTTTGAATTATTACTACCATTATAATAGCAGCACACAGTAAGGCACTCATTTTTTGTCAATCCGTCTCTGTGCTGGGACGCAACGTTCGAACCTCGCAGCTCGACGGACGGAATTCAACTGAAACGTCTTGCAATCTGCCGATATTCGACAGATTGCAAAAACTGGCAGAAAATATTTGCGAGAGTGCAACTACTCTTTTCCTTGCTAATATATAAAATCCTTAAGTGACTGACTCACTGATTAATCACGATCCTGCTCAAACCACTCAACGTAAGAAGCTCAATTTTGGCATACAGGTTGATTCTAGGGTGTAGAGGTTCGATAAGAAGGGATTTTTCGAAATTCCAGTTCCAAGGGGGTGAAACCACCCCTCAAATATTAGAGTATTTTTTTTATTTAAAAACCGGTGAGTTTTTCGGAAAAACTCTTGAACACGTATATTTTATTTTGTTGTTTTACATATTTTACTCCATCTAATAAAAAAATAATATACAGGGTATTCCATTTAAAATACAAAGAAAATGATTCTATATTTTACAATGTTTGGCATAGAATTTTGAACACTCTGTATGGTTTAAGATTACGATATTTACAGCAAGGTAAGTACAGACCAACTATAGTAAACACCTAATGTAGTTTTGATTTCAGGATATTTCTTTTATTTTTAATATTATTTTTTAAGAAGGCTGGAAAATATATATATTTATTTATTTCTTTATTAATATCCAAATTAAAAAATTATCCAAACCAAACCAAACCACCCTGTAGAAGTTAAAATATTTTCCAGATATAATCCTAATACATATTTTAGGTTTGCACTTATACAAAATTCCTAAGTTTTTTTATTATAGGAGCTACACATGCCCGACGCACCGTTGCCGAATTGTGTATATTTTCCTTTTTTCTCAGGTATTGGCTGGACAGAGGTGACTTTGCCCAGGCCCTCAAATACATGAACCTCCTCAAAGGTGCGCCGAGGTGCGTGGCCAGACAATGGATGAACGAAACGAGGATATTGCTGGAAACTCAGCAGGCGGCAAACACCCTAATGGCGCACGCGGCCTCCAGCGGACTGATGTATTTATAAACGAACCTAACCTCACTTTAGTTTGGAACATAATTTAATTTAATTTGTACCTATGTCTACACAGCGAGCCTGACGAGCAACGTGGCTTTAATTTATATCGTAATTCTTTAAACAGATCAATGATTTCCAATTATTACTCAGATATCAGATGAAAAGGATAAAAACAAATAAAAGTAACTCTGGACATGGATTTTTTCTGTCAAATGTTTCTTGTCATTGTTTCAACATCGTTTTATCTGGTTGTATGGTGTTTCTTCTGTATCAGTTTTAGATCAAAGTTTTTTCTACTTAAATTTGAAAGATACAGTTGAACTTGTAAGAATATATTTTTGTTTTTTAATAAAATACGTCTGTTGATTTTAATGTGTGTTTTTTACATATGGTTGGCAGGTTACTACACACACCGGAAAAGCCTAGAGATATTACAATTTTATCCAGCCATCGTCAGTAATTTTATTATTTGCATTTCTGATATAATATAATTAAAATAAACAAATAGTTTACAGGACGTATTGGAAATAAAAATGCGAAATTTACCGAATTTTTCAAATTTACCTTGATTTTTATTGAACTCAAAAAAACACACACATTTTTTTTTTATTCTAAATTATGAATTAAAAAAAAATATAAAACCATTTTTACTTAATTAAGGGTATGGCCTCCTCTACTGTTCATTACAGCCCTACATCGTCTCTCCATGCTCCTGATCAGGTTGTCGATCTCTTCTTGAGGTACAGTCTGCCACGCTGCATTCACGGCCCGAACCAGATCCCTACGAGTTTCACGAGGCATACCCATTCTCAAAATTCTTCTTTGGACCGCGTCCCATACGTGCTCGATGGGGTTGAGGTCAGGAGATTGTGCCGGCCAGGGTAAGATGTTTAATTGATGAGCATTGATAAACTCACTTACCACTCTGGCTGTATGAGGCCGTGCATTGTCATGCATGAGAATGAAGTTTCTCCCAAAATCATTGGCATATGGTAACACGTCAGGCTCAAGAATTAAATCACGATATGTGATTCCTGTTAGAAACCTTTAAAGAAAAACGAGATAGGTTTTTCGGCCTAACTGGACTCCTCCCCAGACCATAACTGTTCCACCTTGATAATGGTGCACTTCCTGAACATGATACAACCGAATAAGATTTCCCGGTTCTCTCCATACCCTAAGCCTTCTCCAATCCGGATGAATTCCAAAGCGTGACTCATCCGTGAAGAGAACATTGGCCCATTGTTCATTCGACCACTGAACATGATCTTGAGCCCACAAATATCGTACCTCTCGATTTCCGCTCGTTAAGGGTTGAGCTCTCCAGGGACGTTTGCTTAAGTTGACCTCTCTTAATCTATTGCGAACAGTGTCAGGACTAACGGTTACATTATGTTTTTTTTTGTACATTGCAATTGTATATCTTTCAGATCGAAAAAGTCAGTTTGATTCATTTCAACTACAATATGAGGTTTTTTAATACATGCAGTTCGAGCAATTGTAGCCCATTGCCCTGGTGTATAAACTGGAATACGCCTGGCACAGCGCTCTATGGCACTATGCATAGAGTCACCTTCATTTTGTGTATGACCGACCTCCATAAAGTTCAAAGAAATTTTAATTTTAAATTTAAGGGCAGCATAAAGTAGCGTAATGTACATAAACTTGTTTTTATTTTGCCCCGCACAGTTGTCAGAAAAAAATGATATTTCTTTAAAACCCTCTTCTGCTTTCGTTTTTATAAATTTTAAAATACAACTTCCTATTTCACAAGTTCCGCGGGATGCTATAGCTTCATGCCACATATAACAGTATCCCTGTTTTTTGGCAGCTTCATAAACCGTTAAATTGTATGTGGCCACTTTTGACTTGTAATAGGCTTGGCCAACATCTATTTTTGGACACTGTAACACCTGTTGAAGATCAAAGATAGCTAAACAAAAGCTGCTGTCCTCAGAAGCTTTAAGCTTCTCCTCCTCTTTTTTCTTCCGCATTAGTTCTTTATTTAATAGGCGATTTTCATATTCGTTATGCAATTGAAGTTTCTCAGAGTCATTCGAATTATGATAATTGACGCACAAATCACATTGATCCTTTATGGGAATGTGAAACCCTAAATTAAATTTGTTAACAAATATCCAGCGATACATGGATTCGCTAACTACATCTTTCTTGTCAACACAGTTTTCTTTACAATAATCAATGTACAGTCTAAACATTTTGGAAATGTTTAAAGACCCAGGCAAGTATTTTTTGAAGAGTCTTTCCTTGAGTAGTGACTTTCGACGGCATCAAACGAGTTTATGTGTTGTTTTACTAAGAGTTCTTGTTTGTCACTAATGCGGATTTTGCCGGATGTCTACCTCTATTATCTTTTCTATAGTAATCATATTGTATTCGCAAGTATTACGCTTTGCTGCTACAATTTTGACTACTTGGTGACTTATTCCGAGGGTATTTAAAAAAAAGGTTTGACATACCTTTTCCCGCTTACCTTCATCTGAAGATAAATGATATAGATAAGTCATTTTTTTCTTCGACTATTTTCATCTAAATTTGAAGGATCTTCATCACCAGAGTATTCTTCATACACCATGGCAGCGACAACAATTCAATCCCGCCAAGATCTAGGAGATGTTTCAAGCCTCGACACACGTTTTGGATAAACATAATACACCCGAATACACGCGACTTGTAAAAGTGTTTCATTTATTATAGTTTCACGAGGTACTCGTGTTACGTGTAAACTATCCTAAGCCCATAATTTGGACATAGGATACTTTACATTTATAAGAAAAGTTAATGTTGAACTTAGGATATTTTGCATTTAATACCTTTAATAGATAGGAAACACTAGTAATTGACTTAGGATAGTTTTAAGGCAAAATATGCGTCCCCTTGTAAGTGTTTGCATGCATAACGCATTTTCGGAAAAAAATGGACTTAGGATAGTTTTGCACCAAACCGACGATATGTCATGATCTTATTTTCATTGTGCAACGACGCTTGTTTTTTGCTTTTTTATTTTAAACATTGTATTAATTACTCTTTTATCGACCGCTTTTATATAGCCAAGGATGCAAGTCTGTTCAGTGAGACGTTAATTTTAAGTTTGTGCAATTATATTTCTATTTTTTATTCGTTGGGTTTTAATTTTTGGGTAAATATTCGTAAAAATGACAAGAAAGTGTTTGGTGTGTTGAAATTATAATATAAATGTTCCCGAATTATCTTTTCACAGGCAAGTAAAGTATTCAGTTGTTATTTTATGTATATTAAACCACATGCATACTTTCTGGTTATATTTCCTAAGAATATTGATATTCGTACGGAGTGGCTAATTTATTTTTAATGTAATTTAATTTTTGTGACAGTAACATTCAATTATTGTTCAAATATATGCATTTTACAAATTAAATTTTTTAAATTAATGTTCAAATTTGGCGCGTGGGCGATAGGTCCTCGACAAGGATAGATAGAGTAGAAGCATCGCGTGTGCAACAAAAAAAGAAGATAAATGCAAGTCGTTGATATGTTTGGGACAGTTTCCATGGTGATTTACTTATCCACGTAAGTATACAGGGTTGTTCACCACATACGACACGGAGTATTGTAGTTAAACGATGAGATTTTTACAAATTGTAAGTCTTGGGTTCGATGAAGGACTATTAGAGGTACAATTTAAAAATAATTTTACAAGATACAGAGTGTCCCAAATAAGTAAAAAATCAAAGTTGTATTTTTTATATGGAACACCCTGTATATTATTACATTTTTAGTTTCTACGATTAAAATAAAGGTAAATTTGATTAAGGTTTATTACACTTAAACCTTACCGTTTTTGAAATATTTTCAGTTTTGTGAAATTGCAGTCAAAATTTTAAGGCTTCATTTCTCCAAGGGTATCAAAGTTTTTAGTACTAATTATTTACTGAAGTTTATTTATTGATCAGTTATTGTGTTGCAATAATAAAAATAATACTACCTTCTACAAAGTGTCTAAAAATTTATTTTAAATAATTTATAGCTTTAAACGCCAATAACTTGTTTAATTTAAATAGAACGCCCTGTATATTTTAGGAGAATCAGATGCACAATTTAATTGTCTATCAAATTGTATATCATTTTTACCTATCCCTTCAAGTTTTCGTAGAAACTGCATTTGAAAAAAACTTTGATATTTTTTATTTATTTGGGACACTCTGTATCTTGTAAATTATTTTTAAATTGTACCTCTAATAGTCCTTCATCGAACCTAAAACTTGAAATTTGTAAAAATATAATCGTTTAGCTACAATACTCCGTGTCGTATGTGGTGAACAACCCTGTATATGATCTAGGATTTTTTTCGACCTTATGTCAATCATGCTTAGGGGTGAAATTTAATAAGCATTTGTTAGGATTTAGGAATTTAGGATCAGGTGTATTCTTAGTTGCCTAACTACCGGCGCCATAACTAAGGATTAATCGATTTTTTATATCCCCCTGTATTTTAAATCTGTTTTTTTTTGTTTAATATAATATTTGAAAACCCCTCGTACACAAAACAAATTATATCATGAGAAACATAATAATTTTAACAATACTAAAACTAGCTTTGCAAATATTTAATAACATTGACCTCACATTGAGTAGTTATTACTTTATTATTTAAGACACGCAGGTACAAATACCAGTTTGCTTTTCTCCGAAATCCCACAACTTTCTATAAATCCTCTCTAGTTCTAGACGCGACATTTTATCCTCTTATCAAGAAAAAATATCTTACTTTACACAGAGATAAAAATAAAACACTTTTAAATATTTTTTTCTTAAGTGTAATTACACATTACAACATTGCAATTAAGATTTGTTTGTTTATCCTTGCTAAAACTATATAATGAGCTCACAGATACCCATAACCTGTACCAGAGTGTTTAGTAGTGTTGTAAAAGTGATTAGAACGGATCCAATAAGGAGTTTTAGTGTTTCAACAAGGAAAACATGAGATACGTTCAGTACAGGTTAAAAACCGGAGGACAACAGCATTTGGGGCCCAAATAGCACCAGGAGGTGATATTATCGATATCAGTTCCGTGGATTCGACTATACCTAACAATTTGGTGGATTTTTTTGAAGGCTGGAGAGTCTACGTATGCTAAATCAAAGAGGTAAAAGCTATCATTTTATTTTTATTGATATTACATCTAAATAATTTAAAAATAAATAATAAATTTGCATGTTATTGAAAAATCACATGGTTAGGTTTAGGGATGGCGAGAATATATCGATATAATTAGGTATCGATATTTTGCAGTATGCAACCAGTAAAACTGCAATTTTTTAGAAAAAGTACACAGATCCAAACAAAATTAAATAAACCTTTCTCGATC